CCAAAAAGTTATATAGAAACAAAAGCAAATACAGAAATAGTTTATTTTTCTGTGTGGATTCCTTCCCAATTTTGAAATCAATCAGAGATGTGGCAGAAATTCACCATTTCTAAAAAACACATGTTGGAATTAGAAAAAAAAAATAATTTTTTTTTTTAAAATACTTTTTCTCAGCAGAGCTGTGGATTAACTTGTCTAGTCTTGGTTTATAGCAGGCTCATGAAGACTAAGTGACTTTAGTCACACCTAAATAACAGATGTGAACATACACAGCAACTATAGGAAAGCTGCCACAACACTTGGGTTGCCTGGGTTCCTGTATCAGAACCATTATACCTCAAGGTCACACTATCCTCCAACAGCTTAATGCACTTTGGGACACAGAAATGCTTTAAATGTATTTCTAATTATACACTATGTTTTAAATATATTTTTTTCAAATGGCTGTGTAAGAGTAGGATTCATATACATGAAATTATAATCTACATTGTAACTCTAGAGAGCCAGCATATCTATAAAAGATCAGAATCAGAACTATAAACAAGAAAAAAAAATCAGAAATCTAAATACGTGGGGGGAAAAAAAAGAAACAGATAAAGAAAATGAAGTGTTACAGGTCCATTTAAGATTTGTAGTGTATACAAAGCATTTCCAGCTGCATGACTCCTGGGTTCCATTTCTTCCTCCCACAAATGAAACAACAACTAATAAGCCCTTTTCAGACCACAGCCTCACCAACTGGTTAGCAGGTGGGTGAAGTGATTCTGTCTCTCCTGCTCAAGTTTAGAAAACTTTCCATCTGCTTTGTATCCGCATGAAATGTTCACAAATGTGAAGTAATACACAGTGGACTGAAAAATAATAAGCTCAAGGAGAAAAATAATGAACCTGATCAAAACTGGAAGAACTATGAACTCACTTCCACCCCAAAGATATCCAAACAACCTAAGGACTCTTATAAAAATGAACATCATGCTCAGAAAACAGGAAAGAACAGCAAGACATAAATCAAATAAAAATATAATGAGGTTGTGGTTTAGAAAACTGCATGACTTGTACAACTGTTTGTGTACTGAGTGCTGTTCCTACAGCCTTTTACAGAGCTTGATAACTCCAGGCAGCCTAAAGGACACAAACACCCCGGTGTCCATAACCAGTGCAGGTCTTGTTAGCAAGAGCTCAAGGTGGCCACCTGATTAAAAAGTGAATTTTGACAGGTAAGAAAGAAATCAGTCATACGCTCTACTTTACAAGGAACGGGAAAGGAATTTCCACATGATTTAGAGATGAAGCACAAAAAACACCAGGACAGGTATAATGAAATGTTTGCTGTGCTGAGGCTACCAAAAAGCATTTGTTGACGTAGGGTTCACAAGCACACAGAAAAGTCTGCAAAGAGACGATCAATAAGGATAAAAACATCCCCTGGGGTATCGAGAAAATATTAGATGCCATGGAGTGGCCAGATGGGATAGAAAACTGAAAAGGAAACACAGAAATGAAGGCTTTGACTCCTCTCCTGTATTCCTATGAGGTATTAGTATAAAACATACCTGGGCCATGGCCTGGAATCAGACGTACACTCAAGCACATCCTTCAGTTGAAGTCAGTTAACGGTAACGTACCAGAGGACAGGGATATCCTATGCACCTCCAGCAACGTGCTTTTAAATAGGATACAACAGCCCCGTGACTATTTTAAACAAACATCAGCTCTAAAATCTGTAAGAAGAGACAGGCTTTGCATCTGCAACAGACATCATCAGGTTAAACATTTTTTCCTGACCAAGTACATTCTGAACACCTACGAGCATATGGTGGGCATAAAGCTTCAGCATTCTTCCAGTAGCGCAACAGAGATGGGGAAAAGAGAGCTGGGATCTCTCTAATTTAGATTAATTGCTTATTACGGTTATGGGAGAGGCACTGTGGGAGCGCTACAGCCTCAAATAACACCAGTAACACCTGAGAGCAGCCATTTGAGCCGATGGAACCCCCAAGGCCTCAGGGCTGGGACGCAGACTGCTGTCCCTCCACAGCAATGCCGACAGTCCAAGGACCCCGGCAGGGATCCGACCACAGGTCTCCTTTTTGAGAAGCTGCCCTGTTTCACTGCCCTTTTGTATCAGTTACATATTTCTGCATATAAGGCTACAACAAGACCCAAATTTTAAGCCTGGCTTCTTATTTTTCCTTGTCAGTCTGTCAGAAAGTGATGCTCAATGTATCTCCAGCACTCAACCCTCAGCCAGGAGCACTACCAGCTCTTGCAGCAGAAGAAGCCATGTCACCTTTCAGCAGTGCCTCTGCAGGACACAGAGCTGATGTGGAGCTGGCTGCCACCAATGCCAGGAGCAGATGAAATGGCAGGAAGATGTGCCAGGGGAGGGTGAGGTTGGTCATGAGGAAAAGGTTCTTGAGGCAGAGGGTGGTGGAGCACTGGAACAGGCTCCCCAGGGAGGTGCTCATGGCACCAAGCCTGACAAGATGCCAGAAGCATTTGGCCAACATGTGCCCTCAGAGACATGGTCTGAATGTTGGGCTTGTCCTGTGCAGGGACAGGAGTTGGACTCGATGATCCTTGTGGGTCCCTTCTCATTCACAACATTCTATGATACTCAAGTTGAAGGACAGCCTCGGTTGGTCTGCGGACACCAACAGGGGAGAGTGAGATGGAGAGATCACAGATCACACATTACCTGAACTGCAACAAATGCCTTAACCGAGGGGAAGGGCTTGGGCTCACCCATGCCAGTGTCCTCACAGTCCCCCCATCTGCAACCAGGGAGCGAGGAGGTGCAGAGAGGGAGAGACGCTGCACTGCTTGGGAATGCAAGAGATGCAAGGATGTAGCAGCACAAAGGTAATTGGGAAGGAGGGAATAAAAATCACCTTTGACATACCCCTTCTCAGGAATGTGCTCCACATCAAAGCCAAAGTAGCACCCTGCCAAAAGGAGCATTTTACTGAGAGCTCACCTAAAGCAGCTGTGAGAATTCCCCTGCCATGTTAGCAGCCTTCTCCCTACCTTCCCCATGCTGTGCCATGAGCAGAGAACACAACATCATGGTATGGATGTACAGCCTTACTGAGATATTCATATCCAAGAGAGAGACGGGTGAGAGCACTACTGCACTGTGGTGTTCCTGTGCAGAACCCAGCAGGTCCAGGCAGTACTCAGACTGAATTTGGTCTCTGTTAGAGGATATCAGTTTTTACTGGCTACAACCAGGTAAACTGGAAATGATGAGTCAATATTGTTTCCAGCTCTGCTGTGGTTCAACTCCCTAACTGGAAGGACAGTAAACAAAGGGAACACTTTTCTTCTATTTGCAATGCAAAACATGCAGCACTGGCTTCTGCAATCAAATCCCCAAACCAAAACATGTTAGTTGTGATTCCCAACTCACCTGTTCAGCAGATTGTTACAGTATAGCCCTACAAAATAATTATTTGCAGCAATCATTCGCCAAACAGGGGTGTAAGGTGTTTAGAAGAAATGTGCTTGACTGAGAAGATAAGTGTTTAAATAGTCTGGGGTTTTTACCAACAATTTTGTGGGGTTTTTTTGTTTGTTTTCCGTTACCTGGCATGTAACAGCAATAATTTGTTTGGTAAGCATGTTGGTTTACAATGTTTTAAATGCCCAGCAATTAAATTATTGAAACATAATTACTGTGCAAGCAGTCTTCTCATATATATTTGAAAGCAAAGCCCATTCATGTGGCTGCCTTCCTCCTCTCATTTCTGCTTTGTCACATCTCTGGAGAGGCAGGAGGAGGTAATTGGGATGGCCAACCTCCAGCTCAGGGTGCAACACAATGCCAGGGGCCAGAAAAAAGGAGGGAAGGTCCACGTCACCCACACGGCAGGTTGCTGTACCAACGTGGTTCTTCCCACCGCCTTTGCTCCGTTTCCCTTCCGTGCCTTCCCATTCAATTGCCACGTCAAGAAGCGTGCTGCATTAGAAGTAAAGGTCTGAGAGGACTGTTTTGCTGTATTACTTTTTGAAGCTTGCCTCATGTCAGACTATGGTCTCTTGCCCACTGAAATACCCTCCAAGACTTGGGTCTGAAGCAGCAGAGTGCATTTCTCCCATTTCTCTCTTCTGCTTTGAAGACAGAGGATTTTGCGCTAGCATTCACCCTAAAACTCATTTCACATCTTTTCAGATCACTTCAGTAAGAGTACAACGTTTTGTGCATTACATAAACCAATTCACTTAAACCCTACTTAACCAAATCTATTATTTCACCACATCCTCATTATGTCCTTAGGCGTTGACACACTCTTCAGTTACTCTCTCTCAATGAGATAATCCTTATCTCATCATCGTGATGTTCTAGAGTGTGTTGAATAACCAGGATTATAAATGAATGTTTTTTATATGCAATTAGGAATATTGCCTAGGTTGGAAATGAATTCCTAGTTAAGGCATTGATCTAACAGGGAACCTAAGTGCATTTTTAAGTTTGTGAGTCCTACTGAAAGCAAAAAGATTACTTATATGATTAAAGTTAAGGTGACTTGTCAGAGCAGGGTGTAAGAGTGGAGGATGTGTGTTTGGACTCGAATTCAGAAAGATACTTAGGCACATGGCTAGCTGTAACCTATGAAACACTAAGCACTTAAAACACCACCTAAGGTCAGAAGGAAAAGGAAGATGACATGATGGCCAAATCTGCCATCTGTGTTTTTCTTCCAAACCTCTGCTCAGTCTTACAATGAGTTTGGTAACTCTAGCATAACAGCTTTTCACAATTTGAATAAATAATAGCAAATCATTAATAAAAATAACAGCAATAATAATAAAAAAATAATAACAACATTAAATCCTTCTCCCAAAGGGACAGTCAGGAAGCTTTCTCTAGCCTTTAAGATCACAAACAGATATGGTTAAAAGTTGAAGAAGTGGGTGAACAAAGCAAACAAATCCTAATTGTGGAAGATGAAGAAATCAAAGACACTTATTTCTAGGAAATGTAAGATGTAGTATGTCACCTTGCCGCCGCATTGGTGATTATTTTCAGACTGCTGGGATTACGGATCAGTTTATCCAGGATGCTGACAATCTGCTCAAACTTGGGTCTGTTGTTTCTGTCTTTCTGCCAACAGTCCAGCATCAGCTGATACAAGGCAGCTGGGCAGTCCATAGGAGGTGGCAAGCGGTACCCTTCATCAACAGCCTTAATCACCTGCACAAAGATAAAAGTTTTTGAAAACTTAAGGGCACTTAAATCATGTTTTTATCAGTTCTGTGAACCGCATTAACCACATGGACATTCTGTGTTTAAACAAATGTGTTTATTCACTAATTGTCTTGTCGTGCAATGCCTCTGGTTTATCTGCAAAGTAAACCAGGCAGTAAATTAGGCACACAGAAAGGGCTGTAGGGGAGTTAAGATACAGTATGTGACTTTGAGGAAGGTGAGAGTCTAAAAAGGATCTCCAAAACTTACACTTGATTGAACTAAAACCATAAACAAAAGCTCCAGCTAGTAAAGTGCTTACTTAACCATACCAGACTTCAAAAGGTCTTGAATATCTCTTGTCTGATCACCCTTGGCACCACATGCTTTCCACCCTCTCCAGTGGACACTGCATCCAGCAGAAAACCAACCCACCTCTCAGGGGCGATCCTGAACTGACAGACAGAAGGTCTTGTAAAGAAATTTGGTTGTAATTGATCTCCCAGGGACAGAAAATATTTTCAAAACTTACCACAAGGATAAGTGTATACTTCCTACTAGGCAGCACAGGCCCAATTCTTTTATCATTTGTCTAGATTGACAAAATTTGTCTAGCTTGTCTATCATTTGTCTAGACTGACCAAAACAAACAAACAAAAAAAGATAGCCTAGAATTGACAGTTATGAAGCTTTTTGATACAATCTATTCACTAGAGTACAGCAGCTCTTGATCAGTCCTACAGTATCTATTGCGCAATGAATACAAAACCCAATGTATTTAAGTAGAAAATGATAATGCCATATTCTGTTAACTTTTCCATTTCTCTCTGGATCAGTTAATTCAAAAGCAGGAAAAACTAAGTTCTGAGTCAAAACAGGGATAGGAAAACACAAAAGCAGGAAAAACTACTCTGAAGTAGAACAGGGATAGGAAAACAGCCCATGGTTTACATAGACACGAAGCAGAGGCACAGAAATAGGTTAATCCTTCTATTCCTCATTTTAATGTGAACAACTATTATTAACAGCATTCCACTAGTGTATCAGCTACACAATTAATTACTCTCCAGCAAGGACAGAAAAGTCGTTTAGGACTAATTAAAAGAAATACACAGTTTGCTGCAGAGACTTGTATTCCAGAGGTGCTCATTTGAAAGGAAGTTTTCTTCTCTTTTCCTTGTTTAACATAAATTAGGATAGAAATTGTCTGACTACAACCATGTTACTGACTTTTAAAATTTAGTACTAGTAACAATATATACCAACTCCTTAGAAAATCTATTTGTGTTAGTGACAGTATTTCAGAAAATTTGGTTCATGAGTAACTCCCATAGAATAAATCTAAGAGTAATAAGAAAACAGAAAAAAGAACCCCAAATAGATATAATAATAATCTTATTTGGGGAAATGTTATGCTTCTTACAAAAATACCATGAGAGATCTATTAATCATTTGGATTGCAGGCTTGGATAGTTCACTAATGTTGCAAAGAAGCCTCTATTGGAAGTCTTCTATATAGATCACTCTCATTCTCTATTTTATCTGTTGATTACTTCCAGAGCTATTTTGGTTTCATTAAACTCTTAGTACAAATGCTTTGCTTCTCTTTTTCACAAGCTCCAAGAGCAATTTATTCAGCGTATTTGACATTTACAGAAAACTTCTACAGAATACTATACAAGTGAAACCAAAGGGGATCAAGAGAAATTTAGGAGAGTTTTCTAACAATAAGCTGAGGAATGTAAAAGGCAATGACCTCACTGCTGTGGAATTGTTTGAATCATCCCACAGAAAACCACCAGCATGATACAATTACCTAATATGTTCCTTCAGAGGTCCAAAATACCCTGCTAAAAGAGATGTTGGTTTTTTGTTAAAACCAGCCATTAGAACTTATACCTGACCAGAGAGATTCAGAGATTTTCATTTTTACCTCTTTCTCAACGTCAACGTCAAAAAACTCCGAGCCACCTGGTTTCATTATGCTTCGCTTCCTTTCACAGCTTGATCCTTTATTTGAGAACATAACTCAGATAACAATATACTCACATCCTGGTTAGACATCTCCCAGTATGGTCTCTCTCCATAAGACATCACCTCCCAAAGAACAATCCCATAGCTCCACGCATCACTGGCTGATGTGAACTTCCGATATGCAATGGCTTCTGGTGACGTCCATCGGATAGGAATCTTGCCCCCCTAAGAGCAAAAGAAAATAAAACAGTCCATTTAACTGTAATACAATGAATATAATTTTGCATGATTGATTATTTTAAAGAAATCTCTGATATATTGGTGTAAAAACCAGCATAAATACTATTGCCATTTGTCATGAAAGCACCTTGTACACTATAAGAGAGTAAAATACATCACGGTGCAAAATCTACTGAAGCTATATAGTATAGTATATATCCTGTATGCATGTACATATATGCAAATATATATTTATGTGTAGCATAAGATGCACAGATAATGTTAAGTATGGTTGATTTTTAGTTATAAAATGTTTGGAAACTGGAAAGACAGTCCTACAGCATTAAGGATAAAAAAAATCTAGTACGAGGTTGGATTTGTATATTTGTAAGGCATTTCAGGTGAATTCCCTGTCAGTGTGGAACCTCTGTGGTTTCACTCCATGTTTTCTAGGACATGCATGGAAAATGAGGAGCCACGATGTTGCTCTGTTTCACTAACACCAAGCCTCCAATTGCACAAGGCAACGACTGTGACCACATGCACAAATTTTCCCATTCCAAAGTCATCAGGAGACAGTTACAAGAAGACAGATTTGGATGGGGTCATCTGTGCAGAGAGGAGAGTGCAAAAATGTCATCTGGGGAAGTGGTCTTAAACATTTTTTTACAGTCACAAGAGAAGCAAGCCATCATTAAATGATGTAAACTTGAAACGAATTGAAGTTACCATTACAATTAATATTGCAGTTAGGAGAACATCTCTCATCATCATCTCATGATTATGGCCATCATTTCGTGCCATAGGTCAAACTAGTGAAATTCACACAAGCAGCCTCAGGCTGACTTTCTGCAACATGAGAATTAGAGGAAAGGGACAATTTCCAATAGTTCCAGCTTTGACAGAGGTTTTTAAGACTGATTTGTGAGTCACACATGAGAAAAGTAAGTCCTAAAAGACAACGGTGCAAAACTTGTTCCTTAAGGTAATTCTGGAGTGAAAATATTTTAATAGAGAAAATTGTGATAGTTTGAAGTAATTTCCAGTTCTAGGGATGCACAACATGTACAGGGATATATTCTAAAGATTTCACACTAGACTAGCTATTTGAGTTACTACAGTCTGACCATACAGCTGTCCTCACAATACTCCGTATGGGAAGGGAGTGCTCTTATTTCCACTGACTAAGCAGCAAGAAATAAAATGTAAAGATATTAATGCTTTGCCTCTACCTCCATAAAGAGTACCCGCACTGAGGGTAGCCATACATTCACCAGCTTTAGATTAACTAGCTTGGTTAACAATAGAACTGTGGACATTAGTGTCAATTAGAAACCTAAATACAACCTAAATACACTGGAGCCTAAGCAGCTGCACTTTCATGGCTAATATTGCACAAATTAAGACTAAATATAAGCCACACAGGTAGAATTTACTCAGGTTACAATTTAGACCTCCAAAATGTCACTATATATGTCTCAGAGGCTTGGCAAAGTTCAGAGAGGGAATCTATTTTGGCATACAGTTTTTATGGATCTCATCCCATTTAGCAGATTCCTTACCTTAACCAAAAGGCAAACTTACACTTCACACACAACCCTTAAAATTAAGTAAATGCTTAAAATTAGGTAAACATTGAATTTCCACATTACTTGTGGACCAACAAATAGGATACAGAAAATAAATAGCAGTATTTGAAACCACTGTTTCATCACAGAAGCCAGACCGGAGAGCCTGATGTGTGTCTCTTTCAAACCTGGAAGTCTATAAGATGGTGTCCTTTAATCACAAAAAGTATGTTATATTTTTCTATTCATTTTAAGTTCATTCACAATTCCCAGAGCTGCTCCATAGCAGTACTGAGAACATAAAAATGATTTTGTTTTTCTCATACACTACTGAGAAGCAGTAATATACCCACTTTACAAACATCCAGGGTTCCTCTGAGTCCAAGGCACAGCCAAGAAATGAGGAAAGCTCTCCTGTGTCCTAGTGTTTTAACAACAAATCCACTTAACGCTTTTAGATGTGGGGATGATAAAGAAATCCATCCCACTTTTTCAACCTTTTTTCTACACATACTAGTAGAGTGAACTTTGATTTCTAATAAAGAACGTCAATGTCTGGGGAAAGCCACATGCTAAATTTACACAAACTAAAACCCACCACCACGAACTGAAAGAGCTTCCAAATCAAACACCTCCCGCTCGTCTCACAGGCTCAGAATTCTCCTGCAAAACTGAGTGGACTTACAGTGCGGCTGCAAGGCCAAAGTGCCCAGGTGCTGCCCGCAGAGAGGAGCTAGTGGGGGGAAGCCTGGGCTGCACGCCGATGACACCAGCCCTCTCGGCACAGACTTGCCCATGGGCTGCTCACCCACCCCAGACCATCTCAACTGCCAGGACAAAACTGTCTCCATGTTACCTGAGATGTAAACTGCAGAAGACTTCTTTTACAGATCAAACCCAAGTCCATGGACCACATCTGCAAAGGAATGTGCAGCTTGTGGGGCTGCTGGAGCCCAAGCGTGAGGGGCCACCACCATGCCCCATGGCTGGTGGGGGCTTCTTAGCTCCATCCCCCTCTGCCAGTGCTCCCATGGGAGAGCCTCTCCAGCTGGGACCAAGCCAGACCAACACTGGTGTTTGGTTCAAGACTAAATGTTTCAAATCCCTGGCTAGGTGGAGACGTAGAAGAGGAAACTGTTGACCCTTGCTGCTTCTAAGGGTAGCACTGCCACCCCAAACAAGCCCCAAGCCTCCTCTCACTCCTGCTGATCACTGCCCTTGTCCCCGGAGGCATCAGTGCTGCTGGGAAAGGGACTGTGCCAACTGGTTTGAAAGAAGCTGAGATGCAGAGCTGGGTGTCATCAGTGGGTTCCTGGAAACATAGCCAGGCTGGGCCTCCTTCTCCAGCAATTGCTTCAGCTGCATCTTGAACAGAGGGACAGCAGAACATATACCTATGACATGACACATAAGGAAGCCCTCGAGGCAGGGAGTAGTTATGGTGTTTTTCTTGCATCAGCATAATGGTTGGTTCTGTGAAACATAGAAGTTTCTATGAAACATGTTTCATAGAAACATTTTGGAGTTTTCAGAATATATTATCTAAAAAAAAAAATAAATCTGAATTTCAGTGAGTGCCTCCAGGCTCACTTTTTAAACTTCATGTTAAGATATAAAAATGGAACCCTTCTTGCTGAACCCTAGAGAAATAGTTGCCTGGTATCGTAGGGGAAAATGTGCTCATGGCTAAAACATGAGCACTCTAGGCAAGGGCAGTAAATACCATATTTGATAAAAGGTTTTTACCTTTATAATCTTATGGAAAAAGTCATTTATACAATTGGAGAAACACATTTACACAAAATGACATTAATTAGTCCTCTAACATTTGGGACTGTTTTATTGCAGGGTAAGGAAGATTACAAACTCAATTAAACTTCTTCTGGATTTGTTTGTTTTAGTGAAAAATTAAGGTACATCAACCCTAGATTCCATTACAAGGAAATACATTTTGCTGTAACTCTGTACAAGCCTCCAAATACACGTAGCATTACTATAAACAAGAATAAAATGAGAGTATTAAAATGTACCTAAAAAAGAAATCAACTGCCACTGAATAGAGTATAAAACTATAATTTTGCTATTCTGGTCCCCAGTTTGCCATAAAAATGTCAATCTTATCTTTGTATTTAAAAGGGGACTTTGCTGACTCAGTTTCTGAATAATTTAAGAGCAAGAACAGCAAAAAAAAATGTTCTGGTAAATATTTTTTTAGACAAATAAGCATTTTAACACAAAAACCATTCCTCCCAAAGGATTATGCAACATTCCCATTTTAGCAGATGTCCAAATATCAATATATGCAGAAAATCTGAAGAGTCATATCAAACTAAATGCATGGTTTTCTATTGCCGTTAGCTCTTAAAATTATAAGCCTTGCTGTATTTTAAATTGATCAAGGGTTTTTAATTTCAAAATAGAATTTCAGCATTAGAAAAAATCCCTTTTCAGTTCTCTCCACTATTTTCAAGATACACACATCTCATTTGAACACCTATCATCTCTTCAATTTTCTGCTTTACCAGAAATCAGGATATTCTTTGCAATATCTTTTGCCAGGATCAAAGATATCTTAAAGAATTTACCTTCCCAAAAATTAAACCAAACACTTTCTCCTAGACCATAAAGTTGGACCCGGGAAAACTAAGCTCCCATACTTGTTTTTTCACTCAGCTTGTTGTTCACCTCCTTTCCCCAGTGTACCAATATTTAAAATGAGTATAGTGATATCTGCTCTGTAAACTGCTATGAATAAAGTGCTAAGAAATCCTACCTGTTTTATTATTATTATTTATTTATTATGCATTGTATGTCCATTAGGCTTTCAGGCAATTTAATTTTCTTTATCTGCTATCTCTGTTGCTTATCCTCCACTGGAAAATCTGAAACTCTAATATTATTGGCTGGTATTACTGGGCTCCTACTCTTCAGAATTAGTACTATTGGGACTGAACCTGTCAGACAAACTTACTAAATGAAAAATCATTGTAGATATGCTTAGGAAAAAGGTTTGCCCAAATCTATTTGATATTGCCTTATAAAGAAAAAATCTACATGTGCATGCATGACTAGGTAGTAGTAATATATTTACTGATTATTTTCTGAAGATAAACACAAGTTTTATATATTTTTGTAATGGTTTCCCTTTAAGGCTATGCTCACCATGAAGCCAAAGCTGCCCGAATTTGAGTAGAAAGAAAGCATAAGTATTAGAAATTGTAGGAGTTTGTTATTGCAGCTCAAAATCTCAAGCAGTCTAGGCCAGAGAACCACTCTTGGGGTTTGAAATTAGTGAGCCAGCAGTAACCATAAGTTTTATCTGCTTTAGATGGAGCTGTGATTCCTACAGCATCTGGCCGTTCAGTGTAAGTCATCTAAAGTCAGTGAAGACTTCAATTTATTTCTAGCACGTCTGGCACTCCAGCACAAGGCAGCTGT